TGCCACTTCAAGAACCTCATCAGTGCCTATGTCATGTCCCGGCGATGCAGCGACAGGTCTTTACTACGCACATGCAGAGAGCGTTGTTCAGCAGCCACCAGCCTGCCCGGCATTGCGAGCACTTCCCAAGATACAACCCAAGCAGCAGTGGCTTGACCGTTTAGCTTTGCCACAGCCCTCTATATATTCGTGGCAGGGGAGTACTGAGAAAGGAATCCAGCCCTGGACCTGCCCTACATTTGCACTTGCTTTGGTTGACTGAAAATTGATTGGTGTACCAGCATGAAAGCAACATCTTTGCCCCTTGTGCTGGCACAATAACCAAAGACACAACACACATGCCATAAACAGCACAGTGATATGCAGAAGTACTCTATACTAATTGATGATGCAACAACCATGGTCCCTTTTTGTCATGTTTTGGGGAGCCCTCTCTCAGAGACGCAGTGCTGTGGCACACTTGTATCTAGACTTGTTGACATTGGGTATGACTTTCTGAAATAGACAAAGAGATTATGAAAAGGGGTAAAAGAACCACAGAGACACAAAGTTACTACAAAAAGACACAAAGCAATGGCAAAGAGATGTAAATGACTACACAAAGGAGCAAAACAACCACAAAGAGACACAACATGACTGCAAGGAGACACGAAATAACTACAAAGAGATGCAAAACAAGAACAAAAAGGGGCAAAACCACCACAGACAAAATTTACCTACAAAAGACCAAACAATACAATACAACTTTAGAGTTTCTGCCTTGCTCCTATAGGGCATTGCAGTGATGACCGCAGTTGATCTGTGATCCGTACTTTGAGTTTTGTGTTGTTATGCAAATAACAACTATTGATGACGAATAACATTGTATATTTTTGACTGTTTACACTGACTTCAGAGTGGTTGAAATGTTTTTTTCAGGATGTTGGTGAAATACATTGTCTGGAGCCTTGTATAACAGTGGCTTTAAACAAGCAACAACAAAATGATTTATATTGGTCGATATGGCTCATCAACAATTGGCAATCAAAAAAACGTGATTGTTAAAAGTTATGTTTGCTCCTATTTTTCTGCTGATCCGATCTGTGACTCAAAAACCGTGACACGATCCGGGCGGCAACAAGCACTCCTAGTGCCCATGGGCCCATTGTCTCATAATCCGCCCATGCCTATCCTTGTGATCCTGTAGATCTCTGTGCTGCTGATACAATGGATGCGGGGTTAACCCATGATGGCTATATCTACATCCTTTACTGTATCAGAGTGCGCCAAACCAGTACTGTATATGCAAATTAAAGTGCACTGCTCTGCAGGGGAGAGTGGGAAAGACTAGTGCGCCCATTAGAGAGCTCCAGCTCTGTTCATCAAACTAGGGTTAATATGTGTAACCTTTGTTCGTTTAAGTGGCACCTGGGGAGATCTCACTGGCTGTAAGAGGAGTATATTGTAGCCTTTGGGGCCTTTAACCTCAGCCTAATATTAGTGCTTTTGTCAGTGAGGGGCAATCAAATAAAGTGCAATTGAGTAACTAATGAAAAAAGAAGTAATTTTAGCATAATCCGTTATATTAGATATATCGTCCACTATCAGATGAGAAATAGTGATGAAACTTCACCCGTTAGAACTCCACTAAGGCCAAGGTTCATTTCCCTCCCTTGACAGACTGACCAGTAGCCATTGTCTTGACCAGCTGTTCTTTTTGACAATTTTGTCATGAGGTCCCTATAATAGCCACTCCTGCCCGACTGTGAGTTCTTTGCCTCCCCTGTCTCCGTAAACTGTGTCAAATGTACCGACTTTGGCCATTAATACCTCTGCTGCTTTGATTCGTCCAGCACAAATACAACACAAGGCCGTCTTTCTATGTGATCTCCTTATTATTCAGAAGAGAGCAACCTTGAATTTTGGGGCACGGTAAGATACTTTTGCAATTAGTGGTGAGTTTTATTTTTCTCTTTTAAGTCATAAGCCAAAAAGCCATTACTGACCACACAGTTGTGCGTGGTACTGTCCTGCTGATAAGGACAACAGATCAGAAACTCATTTGGGTCATTTTGAAGGCATTGACAAAGGACATCCTTTGGCAGAGGGAGATTAACTGAGAAGAAGCAGGAGGTAAAAAAAAGTAGGACAGATAAGAAAACTGTAGAGGTGGAGGGACTTTAGAGAGACTCATTAACACCAAGTACAACGAGTACTGGACAGCGGGTTGCTCAATGTTCAAATGAAGGGGTTTGTTTTTTGGCCCTGAGTCACAATTAATTAGCACTGCAAGGGGCGTCAACACTGCTCTGCATCTACAGCTCTAAATGGAAACAAAAATGGAAAAGAAAAGAAAAAGAGATGAAAAAGAAAAAAAGCAAATTAGAGAACCAGACTCATAAACACAATTCTGAAATTGCTCCGAGATGCATATCACTGATGCTGAAGGGCATGGCCGTGTTCTTTCCTGACATTCTCCTTTGGTTGAGTTTTGGGCAATCCACATCTCATATGAAAATGTTCTCAGAGGCAACTTTCTAAAGTGACAGCATGCTTCAAAGTCTTTGTTTTGTCTCCACCTCAAATATTTTTTCAAGGCCTGAATTATTGGAGGACATGCCAAAAGGGTAGCGTCCTCTGACAGTGACATGAGCTTCAGGCAAAACAGTTGCCAATTGCTTACCCAAGAGAGGTTTTACTAGCGATTATCATGCCAGTGATGTTCTTTCTTTTTGAAGCTGTTTAAGACAAAAATCAAGCGTTTCAACCGACAATTGAAAGCACTTGTTGATACAGTGGTTTGCCTCATCTTCCCCCCTCGATATTTACTTCATCAGAATCGATCGCCTGTGGCTCTGAAGTCTATTGGAGCAATCGGTGAATCCATTCAAAACTCACCCAGATACTGTATGGATAAACACTTATTTGTAGATGATTGCACATGAACAGGGTTGCCTTAAATTATGCACATGTGCATCACTTATTCATGAGATTTACAGTGGGAAGTAAACCTTATTCTTCTCTGCGTGGAAAAGCCAACAAACATTTAGATCATAGGACACCTAAAATATTACTACAATCCAAATCATTTAAAAGTATTTAAGATGGAACATTTTTCAATCTGCACATTTTCTGGTTGGGCAATGGTTGCTACATTTCTACAAGACCAAAGAACAAGCATTTTAAGGTGGTCAACCATTTATGTACATTGTCTTTGTGTGACATTTACCCATGGTTTCCTAAATGGGTTTGACCTCTTTCTCACTCCCATGGGTTTCCTTTCCATGACAGCCAGCCACAGAGAATAGGTGTTAAGGCAGCAGCTGGCAGGGCGGGCCTTTTTTTCTTACCTAGTGATTGATTCCCCCAGTCTCACTGCCCTGGATGGGTTAAACATCACCAGGACCTCTGTTACAGAGAGATTGCATTTAGCTGCTGCTGCCAAACCAAATAGGCTACCAGTCTGTCTGGTAAAGGAAGAATGAGAGAACGAAGAAAGGGAGGCAGAAAGAAAGAAAGAAGGAGGTAAAGAGACATTTGGTTGTTACCTGCTGCAACCATATGTACTCCTACTAACTATTTTTGGTTTTTTAGCTGGGATTTATAAAGATAAATGATTAGCTCACTGCTAATAAATTGACTGGAGTACTTTGCTTGGTTTCCTTGTGAAACATTTTTTGCATCAATTTACTGAAACAGACATTCAATCAAATGATATCTGCCAAGCGTGTTTGCGATCAACAACAGACTCCAAAGAAAAAACAAAAGCTGAATGTTATTACATCAACATTATTATCCAGGTGGAGTTTATGTTAACATATATATATATATATATATATATATATAAAGCAAGGAATGTCTGTCTAACTGTCTGTCTGTGGGTATGTCCTTTGCATACCTCAAGAACCCTTCATGCGATCTACTTTGGTGGGTGTTTTGCTAGGGACCCAATTTGGTGTAGTTTGGACACATGACACAATCAATATTAATCAACTTTGACGAAACAAGTGAGCAGCTCTCTGTGCAGCAGTAGGGGCAGGGCTTCAGTGCTCTGCAGACTGAGTCGAGCATGTCGTACATTGCCACACTGGAAGCAGAACTGAGTTTGTTTCAGCTGTGAGTAAGCTGCGACTTTGTTCCCTCGTGAGTAAGAGTGTATTTCTCCCTATGAATTGATGGTAACATATAACACTAATAATGTTACCGCCTTATTAAATCCATGCTGTACTTCATAACCATGGGGGGGGGGGGGGTGTGTGTATGTTAAAGCCACTGGCTATTAGGCCCATTTGGAAATTACTCTACTAAGTGCATTACAGCAACCTGGGTGGTTTTTTTTTTAGGGGCGGATTCAGCCTATACAAATACCATCTGGCTTTACTTTTCACCCTCTCTCTCTGCCAATCTTGTTATTGGCAGTGGAAGTACTTAAAACTTTTCCAAATCAAACTGCACAGTAAAAGTCCCGCAGTTTGCCTACTTCAATTGAAGAGTGAAATAGCACGATGTTAAATTTAACGTCAAGGTGGAGCTTTCAATTCGAATATGATGCTGGATAGTTTAAAGAGTAATAATGTATTATATTAGAACTGTTACATTTTCTGAATCTGCTACTTGACCAGTTATATTTGTCTGGCAGGTTAATGTAGTACTGCAATGTTTAAAAGTACACAGTAAGAAGTATACAGTTGAGATGCGTACGTTTTCTGACCATAAGTAGCCGAGACTTGGGTGTGTGACGCCACTGTGTCACGACAGGTGTATTGCTGAAGACCCAAGGGAGCTCACTGTCGAGTGTGAAGTTGTGTGTATGAGCGGTTCTCGACAAAGCTGCAAGCCGCAACACCACAGGCCAGTTTTCAACAGGCGTGTTTTAAACTGGCACTACTTTAGTCATTTACAAAGAATATCCGCACTTGATCAATGTATCAGTTCTGTCCGTCCATTAAGATTGCATGCAAGCACAGTAAATGCAGAATGACATCCTATCATCTAATGTCGTCTTTTTTTCTGTCTTGCAGGTAATGTGCTAGTGGGTGCAGCTGTGATGACCGCATATGTGATGAGTAACACAGCTTTACTTCATGGATCCCAGATTAAAATGCACTGTGAGCAGGACAAACACTGAATACATGCTGTGCATTGACAACACATGCACAACCCATACAAACACATGACTCAGATGTGAGACTCGCGTAGAACATGGATATGCATGTACATTGAACAAACAGTACATGAGGTCACATGAATACATTAATGTGTCAAGACCTGGTATGTGAGTAGCAATCAATGGAAAATATTCAACACTTTACATTTATATACAATTTACATTTATATGCAAGCCTGTCATGGGCAGCCCACTGCTCCCTGATACAGGGATGGGTCAAATGCAGAGACACATTTCCCCCTTAACGGGATAAATATAGTATAATAAAAAAAAAAAAAAATGATGATGTAAATACAGTGAAGATGTTCACACAACATAACAAAACACATTCCAGATCGCCTGAGATTGACCTTCATTATGTTGTTTTCTTTTCTTTTGTGATCTACTTGTTATAAATGGAAGATCATTGATATAACCTTGCATATGTATGTATGTATATATATATACTGTATATACACACACACACACACACACTAACGTACTGCTCAACACTATTCACTCTAGACACCAATAGTGAAAGCAAACATTAGCAATCTGTGTGTAAAGCTTCTCTTCATGCTGGTGGTTGGGACGGTATTTAAGTTGGTCGACTGCCTTCGCCGAGGTGAATAATGTTGTTCACCATGCAGTGCTCGCACTAGAATAGTAAATAATAAATGGACACCCATACTAAACATGCAGTCGTGGGAGTGCCACACTCACATTTTCAGCATTAACTGCCAGAGTTGCGCAACTGTTTTTTTGTTTTTTTTTCAAACCTGTGTAACTGGTTGAAGGTACAGTGTGGCTGGCTTGACTTGCACAAGCTTAACCTTTTTTTTTACGTCACATGTGCCTTTGCTCTTATGTCTACGGTTGTCTTTGTAATTGTTCACTTGCCCTCTTGGGCTCACCTACAGACAAGGCAGGCCTGCTTTTCTTTTGAGTTGCAATTCTAAATCCATGCTAACATGCAAGAAAAATAGGTCACACTTAGGTCACAGGAGAGGAGGGGCAGAGGATTTGTTATCCAGTTTCTATCTCCATTACTTTATGCAGGTGCTGCAGAGAATACGAGTAGGTGTATGTACAGAGACCGACTGTAGGTGGATGAAGACAGGCAGGGTGATTAGATTGAGCTGATCTGAGGTTGAGCAGTCCTGGAGGTTGCTACTCTGCCTAATAAGGAATGGATGAAAGCAAAGACAGGACAAAGGAAAAGAGGAAAAAAATGTAACACAAAAGAAATGCAATATTCAAAGTTGGCACTTAAAATCCAGCCCCACTTGTTAGTTGATGCTGAATTGTACTAGCCATTTAAAACTCACTGTTGTAGGTTATAGGTGCGGTGTAAATGTGACTTTTGTGTCCGCGCCCTAAGTATGGAGCTACATTCAGCACAAATTCCTTAATTCCTTAATTAACATCTTAAGTATCTTGTTTGTTTAATCCATACACAAAAGAAATGTCTTCCCGCACAGTGACAGGGTACCGTGACTTCCTCGAATCTCTGCTTGTTGCCTGGCAACCTCATGATGAAGAAAATAATCCAGGAAGTATTGGTTAAATAAACAAAATACAACATGTTAATTAGTAAGCTTTACTATTTTAGGCATTGGTAGGTGCATTTTTGAGCTTTGCACAGTGCCAAGCAAGCTGTTTCCCACTAGTTCAGTCTTTATGCCAAGCTAAGCTAATCACCCTCTGGCTCTAGCTCCATACTTAATGCAAACACATCTTTGCATTTCAATTTCAGAAAGAAAGAAAATGAATCCCTAATATCCGAAAATGTAAACCGATTCTAAAACAAAAAAGCAGCAGAATGGGTTAAAATAACAATGGCTATCTGTTGAGTGGCTGGTAGATTTAAAATCCACCTGCCGTAAAAAATGTATTTCCAACCCTGGTTTATATATATTTGCATATAATACATATTATACTGCATTCAAATGTTGGTAGAAGTGTTTGTTTGCATTACTTAGGCAATTTGCTCATGATGAGGTCAAGGCAGTGCAAATTCCTACTTGCCTTCAAACCTATCGGTCTTCTGCTTGGAATATTAAATCGACAGGGGTTGGTGTGCATTTTTACCATCTTAAAGTTCTGTAAACAGAATCTTAACTCTTATCCTGCGCCACACAGCCTCCCTGCATCGATGCATTTACTGCAGAGTGTGATTGATAACCTGACATTGAGATCCTCTTCCATTGGCTTAACTAGCTCAGAAGGCCGCCCCTGCATAAACCTGCTGTATATGATCGTCAGTATCTTATCTTTGAAAGCCTGGTGTTTTGTCTCAGAGTGGTCTTGGAGTTGATTCAACATGTGCTGCTGTTTGGAGTTATCACTTGCTCCTCCTGTCGGCATCATCACAAGCTGACCAGGGGTTGTCACTGGTGCTTACAGTAAAGAGAGGTGTACATTACATAGCTGACGGATTAGCCCTGCCTCAACCCGGACACAAAGGATGTTACGGATACGTTGTAAGAGTAGAAAAAGGTGGCGTTGTGCATTCTGTCTCACAATATTGATTTTTGCAATGATATAGATTGATCCTGCCCACACACCCTTTATCAGTCAAAACATGTTGAGTAAAAAGGTTTCTATACTTTTACATATGGTGTTTCATGACACACGCCCACACACACAATAAGGTGTTGTGTAACATTCAAATGCCGTTGTCTTATGAGAATCCCATTTTACACATTGGGTACTTGTTGAATGTAGGACTTTTGTTTTTGCTTAAAATGCTCGTTGAGGGGAGATTCCTCCGACAAGTCCATCTGTACAACATGCTTCTTTTCTTTTGTCGTTGCATTTCTGCTTCTTTGGTTTATTGTGCAAAAATAACTGCAATAACGATAACAACTCAAATTTACTGCATTTTCGTTAAGTAAATTCTGTTGATTCTATTTCATGTACTCAAAGTGAAGTTGCAAATCTTTCACACATTTGCTTACAATTCATTGACGTGGTGTACTGGAACTGGATCACAATTTCATTTTTATGAGTAAGCTATGGATTTCCAAAATCTTTTGGTTTCATTTGATTTCATTAATTTACTTTTTTTCAAAATATTTATACAGAAGGGAAATCTATTTTACGTAAACAACTTTGTTCAACGGTGCAACCAAAACATCAAGCTATTATATATAGAACAAATCTAGTCCTTATCTTAACAACAACAGTGTGAGTTTTTTTGACAGAGATAAAACACCAAACACTGATCTGAAGTCTGTTCTTTGTGTCTATAATAAGATAAGATAATATGTACATTATTCTGCCCTATGGGAAATAGTGGTACATGAAGCAGCAATCAACTTAAAACAATACGTAATCAAAGACAGTAATAAATTACATGCAAAGACGAAGAAGATAATACAAACAATACAAAGAAGAAAGGTAGCTAAAATATTGTGCATGCCTTGTAAGAAATACATCGGCATTATACAAATTATGAAATAGATAGTACAACAATTAAAGCCATATAACTATCGATGTTGGAAGGAAAGCTTGAAGCATTTGTTTTTGCATCTATTGGCTCTGAAACATTTACCTGAGGGTAGTAGTTTCTATTCACAATGCAGAATGTAGGACAGGTCCTTCAGAATTACGTGTACATGTCTAACAGCAGTCATAGATAGAGTGAAGCGATGGATATTCCTTACTTCCTATACTTCCAATGCTGCTTTCTCAAAAGCAATGTTTGTGCGTGTGTGTGCGAGTAGGTGTGTAGGTGTGTAGGTGTGTCAAAGTGGTAATCCCAGTCCTTTTAGCTTATGAAGATGTCAATATACAACCTGCAGTTACATTGTTGACGGTTGGCATAGTTACCTGGCATTTAGCCAGTAGACGTTGCGTGTATGTGTGTACGTGTGTGTGTGTGTGTGTGTGTGTGTGTGTGTGTGTTTGCTGAAAAGTAAAGACTAAGTGTTCTAAGCCCCGCTGCCTCAGCAGAAGCGGTGAGGCAGAAAGAGGACTGAGCAGTGTTTTACATCCTGCGAGAAAAAGTATGTATAAAAAAAATTAATGAGGGTGAGAAAGAGAGAGACGGGGAGAGAGAAGAGACAAAGTAAACACAATCATAGCGAGTCAATTTGCTTTGATTTGATCTTCAGTCTCATCTGGAATTTAAAACATACTGTAGTTTGAGGTGATGTTTAATATCACTGCATGATTAAGACTGCTATATAGGGTGCTGGGAATAATGTGGCAAATGCCTCATGCGTTGGTACATATAGTACGGGTTTGTGCAATGAATAAATTGTCTCCTCATTATGCTGAGCTCAGGAGAAAATCTATGATGGCCTAATGTTGGCATAAGAAAGAGAAATAGAGTGAAGACTATGAGCAACACTGTTAAACCAGTTAGTTCTGATAGTGAAACATAATTAGTCTTATTGTGTGCACAGACAAACATAAAAGCTTGCATACACACTCACAGCATTTCCAACCCTTGTTGCCTGCATTGTTGTATTTCATTACACATCTCACACACATACACACACACACACACACACACACACACACCATTTATCAAATACGTCTACTTCAAACTTAGTGACAGAGTGCAGAATCCGGACCAATTATTCAAACTTACATGGCAGGGAGACAGATCTGTCAAATGTATTAAAAAATGTCTCCCCGTCTCCCCGTCGCTCCCTCTCTCTCTCTGTCTCTCTCTCTCTCTCTGTCCTGTTCCTGCTATGAATTCACCTACATCACTCTTCACCTTACACCCATCACCTCTATCCTCCACACTCACATACACACACATGTGCTCATATTCTGCCTTTCAAGGGGGAATTTTCTTCTTAATGTTCTTTCCTTTTTTTTTAATCTGCCACAACATCAAAGGTATGGCCTCCCTATTGGCGAGGAAAGCAGTGTTTTGCAGAGGTGTGTGACAATGAGAAGTCACTTGGACCTTGGGTTGCCCTCGCTCCCTATTCAACCGACCTG